GTTTGTATCTGCAGTGGAAAATCAGGTCAAACTCTGTGAAAAGTTTTCTCACTGGCTCATTAGAATAAGTGGGGGAAAAAAATTCTAAGAGAACTGATTTCCATAATCTGGAATTTTTCAGAGCAGAAATTGATTGCCATGAGTGTTTGGGGTACAGTGCGTTCAGTTTTGGGAGCAGCTGCTATTTCAGTTGCATCCTTTGTGATTTATGTAAATCTGTCCAGAAAGATGACAGAGTTGTGTTTGATGCAGAAAGCAACACTTGCTTAAATAAATTGTTCATCACCATGCAGCACATTGTAGTCTAGCTAGTGGAAAATGTGTATGCGTATATTTATGTACATATTAATGCATATATAAAAAATATCTTAACAACCAGAAGTGGCTTTTGTAGCTTGCTTTTATGTGCAGACATCTTCAGGAAGAGCCAGCCTTCTTGTACTGCTAGAGGGCTATAAGGTGGGATGTGAGTGACTTCTGCTGCTTTTTGGGAACAGGGACAGAGCCTGCAGTGCCTTCATCTGAGAGGTGCCACTTAAAGCTGCAGACTTGGTGGTATAAATATTCATTGGGTGTACTAAGGTGGCTGGCTGGCTTGACACATCAGTCATCTTCTAACTTATCTTCTGTGATAAAATGTAAGTAATGAGATTGCTAAGAATTATCTTGTGCACCAGAGTGCTGCTGTGTGGTTCTTGTTGATTTTTTTTTTATAATAAATATTCAGTCTGAGAGGAATGAAATTGCAGCAGTCTTACAGGATAACGTTCACCAGTTTTTCTTTTTTCTTTCTTTTTTTTTTTGACAGTAACTGAATGAGTTCATTAACAGGACTAAAAGCTTTCTGAAATCCTCATTTTAAGCAGTGTGTGGTACAGAAGGTTTTTCTTCCACCCATCTGAGATCTTTGTTTCCTGCTGTAGCAAAACAGGTTGCATTGAACTGTGATTTCTTACAGCAGTGTTTTCCTTCACCTAATGTGGGTTGAATTTGCTGCCTCGCTTAGTAGACAGAATTGCTTTGTTTAATTAAAAAAAAAAAAAAGGGATATTGGAAACCATTCAGTACAGAGGTTAGTAAAATCTTGTTTTGAATAAGCATCCTTGAAACTTTTTGATGTTAACTAGTCAGAGGGCGTATTTTGAAGGTTAGTGGTGATTCTTGGCAGGGTTGGCTGGGGGAATTTGTAGAAGCAGCTATTCTAGTCTGCATTGGAAATGGCTTTGATTTGAACCAAAGTTAAACCAGTTTAATCAATACTAGTAGAAAGTAGTATCACAGAGAAGATTCTTCTTTCTTGCCTTAAACATCTCTATATCTTGTTACTCAGAATGTTGAGGCATTAATTCCCTGCCCTATTAAGTTATATTTGACCTTCTTGTAATGAGATTAAGCCTTTCTGCCAGTTTTCTTACATAAAAAATGATATATGTAATGTTAAGAAAGTCCAAACCTTGTACTAAGTGTAAGATGAAGCACAGCTATTGCAAGTGATTGCAGGAAGCCAAGTGTGTTCTGTAGACATATTAGGACATAATTAGCAAAAAGCAGATTTTTACATGACTTGAATTTTATTACATTTTTAGATATAATGCATTTCACTGTGGGCAAATTCTTACTGTATAATCATTCTCTTTTGTGAGTACCTAAAGTTAATTCACTTATTTGCACTTGTGTCTGGGTGTTTTATCATGGAAGTAGTTATGTTTAACAACCCGTTTACTGGCTGAATAATTCTTTCATGCTGTTGTATCCATTTCCCCAGTGGTGATCCGTGACTTGTCAGACACTAATTTTTTTTTGAGAGGGTTCAGTGTTATATCTGTTACCAGAGGCTAAACTGGAGTTGAAAGAAACAGTGCAGAGAGAATGTGGACGATTTGATCGATTTGAAATGGTCCACTTGTCCTGCAGCTGAAGAGAATAAGGGAAGATGGATACAGTGAGTGACTTGCACCGTAGCTGATCTTAACTCCACTACAGAAGGTGAGCAGCTTTTTAGAAACGCTCACAAAGTGCCACCATGTGAGTTGCCAGCAGAACGTGTGCGATCTGTGCAAGTGGCAGTGCCCCGTGGTTTCTGGAAGATATGGGAAGTGCAGGAGAGAATGGCTCTAGCATTTTTCATGCAGCTGTTGCCAAGAAGCTCCAGTTGAACATAATCTCTTATTGATCGTGGTTTCCTTGGCTTAGTGAGTACATAAGTTAGACCACAAATTCAATTTCTGCAAGCTGATTCCTATGTTATATATCACTGGCCATGACTGCAAAGAATTTTTATAGTGTGGATTTTGTGGGGTGTGTGTTTGTTTCTGTTATGGTATGGTTACTGTGAGCAGATGGAAACCACCTGGTGGAATTGCGGTTGGAAAATAAGTTAGAAGTTTGAGCCACTTGTGTTGAAGGGGGGAAAAAAATCGGAGTGCTTATGATAGGTAAAGGATTGGTGTTAAATATTCTTAATAGCCTTGTGTTAGGAGGAAAACACAGGAGCTGACCTCTGTGGAAAACACATTAGCTGTCAGTATAAAATGTCCTGCGAGCCTTGTAAAAAGCAAGAAAGTGACATTGGGTTGGTTTGTTCATAGTAGTCTACATGTGGTGTGACTTGTCAGTGCCTGCTGCAGTGGCCTATGGGCAGCTGGAAGATGGCAGTAGGGGAAGAGATGGAGCTGCTGAGATCCTTAGGGGGAATCCTGTCCGAACTGTCCGTTAACACTTCTTGCATGTGTGTTTGTCTGAAAGGGACACTTGTGGCAGTGCTGACAGTGGAAATCACTTGTGATATTAAGGTGTGATTCCTGAGAGCTGTTCTCACCTCTTTCCTATTGAGTGATCTCTGGAGTTTCTCTTTAACTATCTGGGGATATTGCTGTGAGGCCCTTTAGCTAAGGAGGCTGGCCATTCTTGTTTTGAAAAGCTTGCTAGATCTTATTTGATGCTTGGAAGCACCCAGGTGTTTCCCAAATGTTAATCCTAAGATATGCTCAGACCTTAAATGGAAGACTAAACTAGCTTCATGTATGGGCGTGATTTAGCAGCATGAGTTTGTCATGCTCTCTCTTGACCATGACTGTTCTGCAGTAGTTACCTCCAACGTGTGAACAGTGCAGAAAGAAAGGCTGTGGGGTCTAAGAGTGCCAGTGGGGTGACTTTTCATTTTCTAATTGGTAGAAGCGAGTCAGTCAGAATGCTGTCCTTTTGCAAAGAAGAAATAAGGATGCTTAAACATCAAAGCCAGTGCTACTAAGGAAACAAGGGACTAAGACAAGTGCTTGTTCTGCTGCCAGTCACATCATGGTTATCTCAGACTAAGTAGTCTCTATGATAGGAGTCCTCTGGTTTTCAGCATCAGCCCACTCCATGTTTTACAGAATCACAGGATGGCCAGGGTTGGAAGGGACCTCAAGGATCCTGAATCTCCAACCTCCCTGCCACAGGCAGGGCCACCAACCTCCCCATTTAATACTAGACCAGGCTGCCCAGAGTCCCATCCAGTCTGGCCTTGAACACCTCCAGGGATGGGGCATCCACAGCCTCTCTGGGCAGCCTGTGCCCTCAATTTAAATTTTCCCCTGTCCTGCTGTTACATACCCTTTCAAAGAATTGAGTTTCATGCTCTCACAAACAAGAAACTTGTGGCAAAGATATTAAGAGGCTTTTGATCATTAATTCTTAATCGTAGGGTGTGAGGTTTAAGTGTTCAACCTGAGTGGAATGCTTTGAAAATGGAAAGTGAAACAATATTTTTAAAAATATTTTTCTGGGAGTTTATCATGCAATACAGAGTTTGGGGATTTGATTCCAAAAGCCTAGTTATGTTGTGTCTTAGTTGCTGTTTGTAAGTATTCTAGGATAAAATGTCTACTTGTAGTTTGTAAGCAGTAAACTGTACTAGCCACTTAATTCCACGTATTTCTTTAGAGCACTGTTACCTGAACTAGTGCTGAATTGCAGCATTTGCAGGGCCCAATTTTGGGATTCTGTTCCATTTGCCTTCATCAGAAATGGAAGTTATGGAAGTTCTGCTCACAAAACATGATAAAAACACTGAGCTGGGTAGGAAACAAGTTTTGAAACAAACAAAACACCAAACAAACAGAAACAAAACACAGAAGGCAAACTATAGCATGTCAGAGTTTAACAATATGCATTGTTTGCATCATCATCTTGGTTTCTTTTTTTGCTTTCTTTACCTCCACTTCTATTAGCAATGTTCTGAAATTAGATATAAGTATCTGAAAAATTAGGATTGTTTTGGCTTGCTTAAACAAATGATTTGTTGAGATTCTTCAACTGAGCGCTGCTATTTTATTATCAGAGATAAAAATCTATGTATTTTTTTTAAGTACTCAATATCTAGCCTGTAGCTCTACATAAGCTCTTACTGCTGGTGTACTTCAAAGTAGAATTTAAGATTTTTGTTGTTTCTTGTTAGCCATATTAAGATTGAAACTTTTTTTTCATAGAATTGTAGAATGGCCCGGGTTGAAAAGGACCACAAAGATCATTGAGTTTCAACCCCTTGCTGTGTGCAGGGTCGTCAGCCACCAGCCAGGCTGCCCAGAGCCACATCCAGCCTGGCCTTGAATGCCTCCAGGGATGGGGCATCCACAGCCTCCTTGGACTTATTTTTCTTATTATAGAGTTATTCTTCTAATCCGTTGACCTGGATTGAAGCAGATTTGCTTTCTGGCTTTCATGTGTCAGGAAACATTTGTCTTTGCATGTAGGGTAGGGTGACTAATGCATTTTATTATTGCACTGTGGCCACTGAGCGAAATAACTTCAAATGCTTCTCTGGATTGCTCTGACACAAATCTTTGCCCCACTTTGTTTTTTGTGTTGGTAAGAATTTTGGAGGGTTATATGAAATATATTCTGTTTTCATTTGAAGTAATTTTCTTGGCAGCAGCACGCATGTGTTGCCCTGGCCTATTGGTGCTCAGAGGTGGAGCACTTCCTGTGGGTAGGCTGACCGTCTTGCTTCGGAGCTGGTCCGGAAGATGAGAGAACACAGCCTGGTTTCCCTTCTAATCAGCCCCAGTGGGGAGAGGAGGAACCAAGCCCCAGGCTTCAGCCTGGCTCCGTGTTGTACTGAAGGGTATGTTATACACAAGGACACACGCTGCCCTGGGAGAGACCACAGCAGCTCTGTGTGCTGGACTGACTGAAGCATGAAAGACTGAAGGAGCAAGGAAAGCCCCTTGAATCCTCTTGGGTGGAGGTAGGATTTGGATTTCCCTCTTTGCTGTATGCCCAATATCCTTTGGGCAAAAGGAAGCTGCTGGCGACAACTTGGAACTGTAAATTGTTGCTTGCATTTTAGCTGAAAGTTCTCAGCAAGGTGGGTAGAAGTCATGAAAAACTTGGAGCGACAAGTTTGTCATGATTTGAGACTTGGAAACTCTAGGTTTCTTTTTTTGTTTTTGTTTTTGTTTTTCTTCTTGAACATTTGCAGCAATTTTCCTTCAGCATCATTTGACTTGCTTGAAAATTCTAAGCAGCATTGCTGTTGCGTGAGATATTAGAAGCTGTTGGGACAGTGGTCACTGCCAGCTTTTTCTGCTATTATTCTTGCAGTCAGAAATAAAGGTATTCCAAGGGAAGAGCATTGTGTGAGTGGCAGCGGAGCAACGTAGGAGGATGGTCTGCCTTCACTCCCTGTCAGGGTGCCCCTTATGTGAGGTGTGTATTTGGGAGTGGGTTTACTTCCCCAGGGAGGGAAGAGGCAATCTGAAAGGCTGAAGGAGGAAGAAAAGGCAGGGAAGATTAAAAAACTGCATTTGAAGTCAGCCTAACCAGCCTATGAATTCTCACAGATGTTAAATAGTGTTGCTCCTCTGGGCTTTGGTGTTTGAATGACCCGTGAGTATTGCTGGGAACTGAGGGACAGCAGGGTTGTGCAGTTCATCTGCAGTCATACCAGGGATCTGTGACTGTGAGACACCAGAACAGCGATGTTTGGATTCCCGGTCCAACACACAGTCATGTGCATTTGCCCTTAAAACTGATTTCTGCACTATTTTTAAATATATTTGAGAGGAAGCAGAAAGATCAATCCCAACATTGTTTAATTTCTGTTCAAACAAAGTGACAGGCACAAATAGTTGCCTGTGGTATTTCAGTAGAGCATGTGTGCTTTTGGGCTGTGTGAAAGTACTTGAGGAAAAACTCCTATTTATGAAGAGTTCTAGAGCTGTTTGTCTTCCATGAGCTATTTACTTCTTCAGCTGAGCTAACATCTATTAAACATTCATTCCAAGAGTAATACCCTCAAGAGTCAATTTAGGTAAACTGCAGTACCTCTTTCTAGGCAAAAAAAGAAAAAAAAAAAAAAAAAGAAAAAAGCTTTCCAGAATGCACATAGAAAAATTCATTAAATGATTTTTTCTTTTTTTCCTCAGTTCTTATTATATATTGAGATTAAAAAAAATTCTGATGAGGGAGTAGAGGAGGGAAGAAGCAGCTCCTTTGTCAGCTGCATAAAGGGACAGTCAGAGCTTTTGTGTGTATAGTTTTTTTTAATCATGTCTTCAATTTTCTTCTAAGTTGAGTATGTTATCGTGACTGCAAACTTTCACACTCCCATTGTCATAAACAATAGTCTAATAACCTTTAGAGCTTTGACATTTTCAAGCCTGGCAGCCAAATGAGTGTTTGGAAGAGTGTTGAAGACTGTGGCTTAAATCATGTTACACTGCATTGTCATTTGCTTCCAATACTGTATGATGTTTTTAAAGCCATATGCCTGCAGCAGTGGGTGATGTTTGAGAATCAACATCACCTTTGGTTATTATCAAGAAGACAAGCAGCTGCATTCTGCTGGAGGTGAGATACAAGATGTGGCTGAACTGTGCAGCATTTTCAGCTGGGAACTTGCAGGGCTTGGAGGGGAACACAGATAACACAGATACAGGTGAGACCTGGGCAGCAGTGTGGACCCTGGTGGGATGCTGAGTTGTGTGGTCCTGGAAGAGGATCTGCTGTCATTCTGTCATATAGGTTCTGCTCTGTGTTCAGGTATTAACAGATGTTTTAAGCCCTGAAGCATAAGACCTAGCTGCTGATGGGTTAGGTCACAAATAGGAGAAATAATTGGTGTGTGTCAGGGAATGTTTTTTCCCTAACCACTATTTATTTTTGGTGAGAGGATGCAGTGGTTTTAGTAGGTTGGGCATTCCTAGGTTGTTGTGGTGTTTTTTTTTTTTGTTTGTTTGTTTTTAGGTGAATGCTGGTAGGCCATTGGTACATGGCAACGCAAACACAGACAAACTGTAGCAACAAAAGCAAGTATTTACCTGCACTTCAGTGGTCTTCCCACCCTCATCACCCAGATATGATCAGCTCTTTTCAGTCTTAGGAAGAGGAATCAGGTTACTGGTGTTCGCTAGTGCCCTGTTGCCTGAGGTTGTGCCTCCACAGCTCTGCAAGTACAAAAGGTTTATAAAAATGTTCAAGTCTGCTTCAGGTTAAATCTAAGATGAGTTTAACTTGCTTTATGTTGTAGTGAGTTTGAGTTGGCCCACTGGCTTTGGAAGTAGTCTGGAGAGTACTTCCTACCATCAGAGCCCGAGGGAGGGAGGGGACAATACTAGGTTTAAACAGCACAGCTGCCTGCAGAAGAACTGTGTGGAGCCTGGTTTGACAGCAGTACATGTGCCTTATATCAGCACAGGTTTAAGCGTGTAAAAGTGCTTTTACCAGTATGTAATGGATGAAGAGGTCCTAGAAGAATTCTTAGCAGGGGGGTTGGAACTAATTGATCCTAAAGGTCCCCTCCAACCCAAACCATTCTATGATTCTAAGATGATTCTATGACTTCGGTGTTCCAGCAGTTTTCTGAGTGTAGATAAAGGCACAGCATTTAGGTCGCACCACCTCACCTGGATTTGATTATTTTAAAGATCTCTTCTTAATAAGATCCAGCCTTATCATGTAAAGCAATTTTAGCTTGCTGCAATGTTGAGTTAAATGTGTTTAAATCTTTTTTAAAGCAGATACGTCTTTCTTACATAGATGTGTATCTGTAAATATCCATCAAGCCTGGCCGTGCATCATTTCAAGTCTGGGTCCCAAAACAGCGAATTGGTGGTGGTTCATTATTGTTTTCTTAATTTTGGTCCTCTTTAGGTACCGTACCATGCTGGTAGTTTCCAGGCAAACTGCAGTTCAAGATGCAGGCTTCTTTTTTTTTTTTTTTTTTTACTATCTAACTTTATAGAATAGTTGTATTGATCTCTAGAAACCATATTTTATGAGCTAAAAGTCCCCCCCCTTTTTTTTTTCTCAGCAGGAATTGGTGGTGTGGTATTTAATATAAGAGTTAAAAACTTCTTACAGTTGCACTCACCCCTTCTTTCTTCCCCTTAAAGAGTACCTCTAGCATACTTTAAAGTAGCAGCAATCTGGAATGCTGCAATTCTCTTAAAATTCCTAAGTTCATATTATCATGTTTTTTCCTGTTGCTCAAGGATAAGTTACAGGCTTGCTTTGAAAATTAGGTAAAACTTGTTCAGTTTCAGACTTGCTTACAATAATCCTTTCTGCCCTTAAGAAAAAGACCCAGTTCTGTGACCTGTTTCTTAAGTTCCCATCTTTGCCAGGCATTTGGTAACCTATCTGTGTTGTGTTCTGCATTTGTTTTAATGCATGCATGTAGTTGAGTCATGTCTGGATTTGGATGTAAATAACATCTCTACTGATTTTGCACAGTAAGACCAAGCTCTTGCACCACTTGGGGAAAATGAAGTTGAGTAAGGAAAAGCTCAGTGTATTCCTCTGCTGTAGTGTTAGACTAGGAGAGATCTGGTGATTTGGCCACTTAATGACAGTATAAGGAACCAGAAAACTACTTCAGTGACTCATTTTCTCATCTCTGGCAGCCATAGAAACGGATCTGAGAACTCATATTTCTATTTTTTGCTCTGTTACTGTGTCTACAGTAATTTGGATGATAAAATGTGAAAACAACCCTCCTCTAAAGAGCACTAATTTGTAAAGTGACAAGAAATGTGTATATGTATGTATGTCTGTATACATATGTATGTATATATTTCCTCCCTGTTGCCTTGATACTTCATTGCATAAATGTTTCTGCAGCTCTGTTGTCCATTTCTTTTGCTTTGCTGATCTCAGTGAGGTCATATCAGTGTTTTCTTTATGGGGTTGTGCCACACGTGACTATAGGGAAGATAAAAGCACCGAAGAACTTCTGTATCTGTTTCTGTCGAAGGTTTCTGTAGCATCACAAGATGAAATTTAAGTTGGGTCTCTTTGAAAGTATGCTGGGGTAAGGGGGGAGGGTCACTAAGACTCATTCCTTGTGTTGTACATGGTAATAGTGTTCCATTTTTGTACTTTCCCTGACCTGAATCTGTCATCTGTAAGAGGGGGCTGTTTTGACCTGCATGGAGTCTAGCAGATGCTTTTCTCAGCCTTACCTGTACATGTTTAACTCTCTTTATGCTAATGGATTGTAAGTAAAATACAAATAGCACGCAGACTGTAGTAACTGAAGAAATGCTAAATCTGGTGGGTGTTTTAAAAAAGAAAAAGCTGTTTTAGGAAGGGCTATTTTCTCTTCTACAGATCCTAGTTTGCTAGTCTTGGTGAGTATTGTAGTCCTGCTGGTGGATGCTGCTCATGAACTGGAAAAGAAGACGGGAGAGCTATTGAAAGGTTAATCTTAAAAGATAGAATATGTGCAAGATGGGTTTGCATGATGAGATAGATTGCTGCTTCAGTCAGTGGTGCTTCTATGAAGGCTTATCAGTGTTGTGCAGTGGCGTGAGTTTGCTGCTTGCCAGGAGCACACTGTGCACTTGCACCACAGGCTCCTGGAGGAAGTCTGTAGGTTGGCTATCAGCAGGCTCTGCTGCTCCTGGAGCCTTGCAGTGAGGGATGCATTCACCCTGGATGGGGGCATATAGTGACATTGCCACTAGGTGCGGCATGCAAAGAAAGTGTGATTCATTTATCCCTAGAAATGTCTATTTCTTCACAGTTGTTTTCATCTCCCTTCTTCCCTGGTTCATGCTTTTGCCTCTTTTCTGGGAAGTCTACAGTGCCCATTGCTCAGCAGAGAGAGGTAAAAAGACCATTGGGTGGCTTGGATGGCTCAGTCAGACAGGCTGATAAATAAATGACCACGAGATGTTTCAAAACAATATCAGTTCTGTGCAGTATTTGAATGGAGTGGTTTGAATGCCTCTGAAGTGCTGGTCC